TGGCCCTCAGCCAGGGTCAGCCCACCACAATGACTTATCAAATGGGTGGTGCTTGCAAGCAGTTTCAGAACCAAAACAGTAGTATCATCAAGCAAATCTTTAATGCTCATTTTTAGAACTAACCTTTTCTGCATACATTCCAATCAATAATTATCAGACATCTTTGTTGATATTTGTACACTGTTCATAATTTTGCAATGTTCAATTGTAGCAAATTGAAATACTTGTGTAGTTTCTTCTGCATACATTCCAATCAATAATTATCAGACATCTTTGTTGATATTTGTACACTGTTCATAATTTTGCATCTGTTCAATTGTAGCAAATTGAAATACTTGGGTAGTTTCTATTCTAGTATGTAACATGTTACATCTTTAATCACACTACCAGTCCTTCAGAAATGACAGATGAAAATAATCTCATCAAGACTTTGTTAGCTGACCATCCTGTGTATTCAGTAACTTTACAGCAATCTAATCAGTGTCTCCACAGTAGTCTGCTTCTGAACTTGTCTCATGAATGTTTTTTGGTGAAATCCAGTATTTTAATATGGAAGAACAGCAAGACAGTAAGGGCTGAACCTCCAACACAAGGAGATTTCTCAGCTACTTTTTGTGGCCGCTACTCTATGGGATTTGTTCCTTCCTGAGAGTTTTCCACTTGCTCTAGCTGTGTTGGCAGGGGTATGTTTGGGGGCAGCTATGTTTGCACATTTTAACAAGTTTCTTTAATACTTTGCAAAATAAATAATGAGAACCAGTCTCAGTTCCTAAATGATGAAAATGCTGTGAAAAGATAAGTCCTCTTGTTATTTTGACCTAGTAATTTTTCCCTGAGGTAACAGAGAATCCATTGGAAAAGACACATTTGCGTACAAATGTCTAAATAGTCACATACTTCTTCTTGTGATAAGAAGAAGCTTTTGCATTAAGCAGGTGAAGTGAAAAAGGACTTTTATCATTACTGAAGTATGTTTTGGTTTAGCAATTGCTCTGTCCACTTGACCAAGGAATAATTATTTCATTGCAGAGCTCCATTAAGTTGAATGGATGGATGTAAGCTATATGAAAGTGTTTGTCAAGAGTTGGATGTCATGCATAGGTTTGACAGGGGCTTTCACTGCGACTTTGTAGTACTGCCATTCATAGGGTATGAGAGCCTCTTTAAAAATATTTAATGTTTTTATGACTATTGTTATTAGTAGTAAAATGTGACTGCCTTTATATTGGTAGCTCCCTTCAGTGTCTTCAGGCTATTCAACACAAACTATCCTCCTTTCTACTGATTTTAGAAGTAGTTGAGGGATAAAAGTGTTGCTTGTAATGTAATTCTTTTTTCCATCCAAGTATCTTTGGATTCACTGACTCTGTAATTGATTATTTGTTGCTGGGCTGTGACAAGTTTAAATGATTATCAGAGACAGAATCACAAGTTCGTGTGTATGGCAGAAAAACCCTAATTATTTTCTTTCCTGGAGGAAAGAGATGATTCTCATTTCATTTAAACTAATAGAAATTAAGTACTTTCAGTGGAGTATGCCCTAAATTACACTAGTTTTCATAAAAGCAAGATCAAGGTTTGTATTTTGTTTATATATTCTGTTGTAGAACTTTAATGTTTCTAGTTTATTTTCTCTTTCTAGACTCCCCATACTGATTTTATAATTACAAGATATAGTTTTACTACATTCTTATGAAATCCCACTATGTTTGCAAGTATAATATGATCTTTATTTTTCACAAAAGAGTACATTGTGTTAGTAGCAGGCTGTGGTGGTATTGTTCACTTCATTTTTCTACTCTTGATAATATTTCTACCTTTTGAGCATGGAGGGTTTTTTTCCAAACCACACAATGGGTTCTCATTTCTCTAGACCAAATTCTGAAATGTGGACAGCCAAGTTATTTAGTTAAGCCTAAACTCTTTCTGAACACTCATAAATCTCAGGTTAATTTGAAGTAGGAGAATAGCATCTTGCCGCCCACTTGGTCATTTTTACAAGTGGCAAAACAGTTATTTTCCTGATTTGCCCCTATTTTGGAGGATTAACCTATATATCAGAATAGATCTCCACAGAGTAACTCAATGTTAAGTCATGTCTAAAATATTGTCACTTGTGCATCCCTTGAAAACCTTTTACCATACAGAACCAAAGTGGAAGGTTACTCATACTAGCATCCAAAAACATTACCTGTGTTCTCTGTCACATTAGCCACTCTTTAAGTTTCACTTATGTGCTGTTGGCATGTATGTTCAAGGAAAATTGGTTGCAATTGGTAGTGCAAATGGGTCTGTTTATTTTCCTATATTAAAAAAAAGCGCAAAGTTTTGCATAAAGCTCCATAATTCATGTTCCAAAGGCCTTTGAAGGGAAGCATATATTGTTGCAGAAAATAGTTTCATGAAGGAATCTAAAGATATCATTTGATTTTGTTGTTTGTTAGTGAACTGTGCACAGTGTGTATTTCAAACATTGGGGGAATACAGATTGAATTTTTATTCTAAGACCATTGGATAAAAATATGGTTTAAATATGGGAACCTTATATTACTGTTTCCTCACATATTTATTCATCTTAGTAACAATTTTAAGTTACTTTTTTTTTGTGACAGGTGGTGAAATTTACAAAGTCCTTTGAATTGTTATCTCCAAAATGCAGTGCTGATACTGACAACAGGTTAGTGCTCATGTCTTCTATGATAATGGATTACTTTATTTTTCACATAGTTTTAAATTTGCTTGATCACAGTTTTATTTTCTTATGGAACTTTGGGTAGATTTGATTGAAGAGAGTGAGCCTACAGTTTTTACTCAGGCAAGCCTCCTGCTTGCTTCAAATGGAGACTTGCTTGAATGAATATAATGTGCCTGTAATTATATATATATGTGTGTGTATATATATGTGCTAACATTGTCTCAGAGAAGAAACCAGGAAATAACTGACTACTTGTTGTTGAACTTCTGGAGAACAGACAAATGTTGTTTTGCATAGTTACTACTGAAGTAAAAATTGCAAAATTAGTTTAGATTGTTGACCTCTTACAAAATGCCTCCTTACAGTTGTGTTGAAAGATTTCCAATAAAAATTTATTTCTGCTCTTGTTGTCAGGCTGGAAAGCCTAAAAACCTCAGAGAACATGTATTTCCTAGAAATTGTGTTCCTGTGACTAAATCTTGTTTGGGAGCCCAGTCACAATAAAAGTATATATTTTGCTTAGTAGGATCTGTATTTAAACATTGATAAAGGGCTAATTGTAAGTAGCAATAGAGAGAGCTTTTTATCCATGTTGGATTACTGTATTAATTCCTACAAGATAATACAACTAGTAACAGTTCACATAGTGTCCTGCATACCAACCAAGTGGATGAAGATTCAGGGCTATTGTGAGAACGTTTCTCCCATCCTTCAGGGCCCAAACTCAGTGATTATTCTGCATATTTTCTGCAAATCAATACATACTGACTGAATTAGAATTTTCCATGTCAAATACCTGCCATAATGATAAACCTAGCCTTCTGTCCAACTTGCTATTTATAGCTTAGCAAATTGAAGATTACTTTGTGCTTTGCCATATTTAAGCCCTTTAAGCAGCTTTTAAAATATTTTTGGGTAATTTGCCTTTCTTCGTGCTTTATTTCTTCACCTCTAGTGTGGTAAGAAGCTACCACTTTAAGGTGAATGTGAACGTTGTACTCCAGATTACGACAGGTCGTAATTCTTAATGTTTTTCATGGATTGATCTCACAGCGTTACAAAAATGGGTAGTGTTATTTTTAAGATACACAAGCTGGCAGCAGAGTCCAGGGCCACACAGAAAGATGGTAGAAGCTAGATCTCTTCCATGCCCTATCCACTAGTTGAGAGATGGGAATGGTGAGACAAATGGGAAAGGAAAACAAGTAATAAAAAATAGGAAGGTTTAAATATGAATAAATAAGCTGCTGATTCATCTGGGAATCACAAGTTACTGTTTTTGACAAAGAGCTTCAGAGTAGCAGTTGGTCTTTCCTAGGTCATTTAAATTAATGAAAATGCATTCCTTTTGTTCAGGGACAGGAGTATGAATCAAGGGATGTGGTTGTTACTCGTGTTTTTCTCAAACTTGATCTGTAGCCAGATAAGTCAAAACAATGTAGAGTGGTGTCAAGATAACCAAGCTGGCTCATTTCTTGTTACCATAGTTATATTAGCATGTTACCAAAAAGAAATTTGTAGTAGCCTGCTCTGCATGTAGTCAAGTCAAGATTATTTTACCTTTAGTCTGAGATGATGTGAATAAAAACATGCAACCTCCTAGCTAGTCTTTATAAGATTTATAAAGGTATATTTCTGTGCATCATAATATAAAGATTTATTGCTCTTTCTTTCATTTTTCATCCAGTGGAGAGTGAAGTTGGTTTTACAAAGACCAAGGTTAGACTGGCAGATATGATGTCACATTTGGATCTAGCACAGGCACAGCTTGAGTTATTGGCACTATAGAAGGAAAATAAAGGTTAGTTAGGATACAGAACAATGCCGCGAGCCCTTGACATTTGAGCATTTTTCTAGTGAGTTTTGCCCTTTTCATTTTACATTCTGCAGCCCTAGCTGATGTAAAGTCATGAGATGTTTCATGTGGGGAAAAAAAAAGGCAAGATGAGTTTATTCATCATCACACCAGTGAAGATAAATATTATTTCTTTGAAATTTTAGTGGAAATCCAAAGAGATTATAGGCTGACAACAGTTCTAGTTATACGTTTTATCTGAAAGAAAAGCTCCAAGGACAATATAACTTTTCATGTCCTAACATACTTTCTCACACAGTTTTAAAAGAAATTGGCTTTTCTTTTGCCCTTCTTACATCTGGCTAATAGCAGTTCACCTGTTCAGTCCCTAAATATTATAATGAATACTCACCTCAATTTACTTTGCTGTTGATTGTAAAGAAATACCTTGCAAGAGGACACTTGCATTTATCTGTTCAGTTTGCCATTTTCCAGCACGCACCATGGTCAAGTTTGTTTATTATCCATAATGGCACACTGATGTTCTCCTTTTTGTCAGTCATTTTGTTCCTGGAGTACAGGTTTGCCAAGTCTCCTAAATTTTCTCTCCCTTTGAATAATGATTACATAAATCTCACAAGCCTTGAGGGTTTTATTCTGATTTATTCTGGATGAAAATGACCCCGAGGGAAGGTGCTGTGGGCTGTGCCTTTCCTGCACAGAGGAAGTTATCCTGGCAGATGATGTAACTGAGATTACACCTCTCTAACCTGAGAACCAGTGGTAGTGGAAAGGTCAGCTGAGTCAGAATGTGGGTTGCATGGAAGAAAATATCTATGCTCCCTCCCAGTTGGGCTGGTAGAGAGAAAGTGCTGAAATCCCTGCTGCCGCTGTTTCACCACCACTGTCCCTGGGATGACGATGTGCACTCAGGTATCATCTCATTCCTTGCAGTATTTTTATGCTGCTTAAGGCATCTTTCTGCCCTTCTAGTCCTAGGAGCCAGAAGGGTTCATCTCACTGTTTAGAGAGGATTGAAAGTACCCGTGATTTTGGCTGTACTACTTCCCTACTGTACTTTCTGCCATCCCTGTCAGGGAGGCTTTGAAGAAGATAGCAAGGCAAGCAGCTGCATAAGGGGAGCCTGCAGCACTGCTCGGTGCTCTCGAGCTGGGTTTACTCTCCTGCCTGGCCTGCAGTGCTCCTGCCAGTGCGTGGGCAAGACAGGGAGATGGTGGCTTTTTTTTGAATCAATCACGACTTTGCACGGTTTGGAGAAAATTGTTGCTTGTGATTTTGAGAGTAGCTTCTGAGTGTTCTGAGCTGCTGAGGATGGAGAGAGAACCAGCTGGCTGTGATTTACATTAGAATTAAGCATTGATATTTTCTCCTAGTGAAAGTTGAGTGCCTCTCTTCCAGAGTGTAGATTGTAAAGCACTTGCTAGGAAAGGAGACAACATAGTAGAACATACTTTTAAAACTTCTTCCTGAATTTATATCTTGTTTCTTTTACTTGAATTCATTTGCTGCTTAATGCTTGACACCCATAATCCAGTCCTGATTTAAAGTGTCTTACATTATAATGATAATATCACCCAGATTTTTAAGGTATGAACTGGGAGCTATGCATTTGAAATTAGATTCTTATCCTTAAAGATTTTTTTGTTTCTCAAGTATTGATGTCCTGAAACACATTTTAAATTATAAATGTGAATTTTCTACTTAGGTCAAAAAACATTATATTTCTGTACAGGTTCCTGTGAAAGTATACGCATAACATTTATTACAGTCACTCAAAATTCTTATCCCAAATGAAAGTTGATACACTTTGATTTATTTGTGTAAATCATTATTATCTTTATAGTTGTTTAAGAACATTGAGTTTTTTCTTTCAAATGAGTGACTTAGTTGAATTAGTCTCCAGAAAATCAATGCATTCACTTTGAGTCTTCCAAGCATTTCACTGTGCATCCTTTTTTTGGAGAATGGTTCTGCTGTTCCTATGAATATTCGTGTAAGACATGTTGGACTTTCAAGCAATGTTGACTGTATCCTTCCCTTGTTATGCCTTTTGATAGTTTCAAAGAAAGTGTGGAGAAATCATCATCTTATTCTGACTGGCTAATAAATAATAGCATTGCTGAACTCGTAGCTTCCACGGGTCTCCCAGTGAACATCAGTGATGCCTATCAGGATCCTCGCTTTGATGCTGAAGTAAGAGATTTTTAGAAATGTAAATATACATCACACTTTTGGCATTGCAACTAATATAATACAATTTTATCATATTATCATGGCTGTAAAAGGTGAATATGTATTTTTGAATTAGATTTTCTATCCAGATTGTCCTCCTCCTGATCTGTTAGCATTGACATGGCTTTATACAGTGAATACAGGTCACTGAATTAATGTATGACCGTAGGCAGTTACTTTGTCTGTCCATGATTCTTCTTTTTTTCTAAGTGACACCTTCCTCTATCAAGTGCTTTGATATTTATGCAAACTGATTTTTATTGCTGAAAATTCTGCTGTTGGTGTTCAGTGTTAGCAGCACCATCGTTGTTAGTTGTTGGAGTGACTGGGACTGTACAGACAGAGTGTAAACAGAACCGGTGTCTACAGAGACAAATGTTGTTTGTGATCTAACTTAACCAACTAACATTTTAATTTGCACTATTAAAATATACACACTGGATTAGTTATTTCTTCAAGGTACATATCACTTTTATTAGAAGTTGTTTATGTATCTTAAGGTATTAATTCCAGCCTCAGTCAGGAAGGTGTAGATGCAGATAAAAATGTATACTTAACACCTAAAAAAATGAGAGCATATGGAAGGACAAAATCTTCGCTGAATTCTATCCAGTGAAACAGTATTACTACAGGGGACTTGGCCAGCAGTTGGGCAGCACATTAATCAGTGGACAGCTTTGGTCAGCAAGCTTGCCAAACTGTATTACCACAATAAGTGTGCTTGGAAGTATTTCATGTTGAGAGTTTGCTTGGTTCCAGTTTTATTCCATATGTCCTTAAAGGGATTATTTCTCAAACCAGCAGAATTTTTCAAAACAAGAAAAATAAAAGGAGACTGCTGTAAAAGTGTGCAAGAAAATGGTGTTGATGCTAATTTGTTCAGAATTTCAAAAAAGTACCCTTAATGCCTGGGGTCTATTTCTGGTCTAATGCCTGGGGCCAAACAGATAGGCTAAAATAAAGTATACCAATCCTTCATATGTTTGCATTTGTACTTTTAATATATCATGTCCTGAATAATTCAGCTGTCTTTTATTTGTTTCACAGTTAGTCCTTTCCAAGGTAGAGCCATTGGCCAATTTATATAGAGAAGAAGAAAACGCTTAATGTAAAGGGCAGTCATTATTTTCTGTTGGTAGGTTCCTATGAAAATTTAATTCTTAAATTCAGTTGTTAAAATCCATCATTTCTACAGTCAGTCAAGTACAGTAAGAACATTTTACCCCTTGTGACTTAGATAGAATCAAACATACATTTGTACTTACAAACAGATATTCTGTTCTCTGCTTCTATTAAAAACGGTCTCTTTTTTCTCCCAGTGCACTAACTGTCATTTTCAAATGTTGATGTTAAATTTTTCAACTCATTCACTGACAATGGAATGCCAAAGTATTTTCACAGAGTTCATTTTAAGTTATACATCTGGGGCAATTGTTCCACCACTTCCATGGGTTTTAGGTGGCACTCCACACTGATTTCAGAGATGAGTTCTGAATATGTACAAATAAGTAGTACTCTCGTAAAACCGGAGTTATATCTTTTGCTACCTAGGAGACCAGTGATCCCATTCTACCTCCAGTATACGAATTATTGCAGGTCTTTTACTTTTCTGCTATTACAGATTGCCTGTAGCACTGGCAGTTTTAGTAAGAGAACATCTCCTGATCTCCTATGAGTGGGCTCATCCCACTCTAACCTCTTTTGAAAAAATATTTTCTTCAGATTTTGCAGCAATGACTCTAAAGGATAAAGCTTATTAACCATAGAAAAGAGAATTAGTGACACATATAACAAATTGCAAAGTTTTATACTATATTAGACAGAAAACAATAAATGAGGCAGAAAATTGTCTTGAGAACCACAGGACCAATTAAACCTACATAGAAAAATCTAAAATCTTGGGTTTGACCTCATCCTTCCATTTCTTCCTAGCTTGCACTTCTGCACAATTCCCTGCTTACTCTTGTCTGTCTTCTGAAAATGTGTATTTCCTGTAAGCCCCCTTTTATAACTGCTTTGCTAAATCCAGTTTCAGTTTGACAATTGGGAAGAGTATTTCTAAGGCACACTTATTCAATGGAGGTTGTCTCTACTAATTTATCAGTGTAAGTAATCCAGGAATTGTCTGGACATTGCCTCAATTACAGTTTGTCTTTAATTCCAAATCAAATTCAAATAGTGTAAGCTTTCTGTGGCAAAGATGGTGATGTTTGGGGGCGGGTGTGGCAATTTTTAGAATAATCCTTGTGACTTTTGGCTAATCTTACTGTGAATGAGCTTTCAGCAGAATTTTTTTTCTGAGAGCTGATCCATGTGGAATGACATTTGTAAATGTAAACTTACTCCTTGACATTCCTATTCCTAGAATGTAGAAGGCTGCAAATGGTACCTACTGCTAATGGAAGCTGTCATTTCTACATTTCAGGCTGACCAGATTTCTGGCTTTCACATAAGGTCTGTTCTGTGTGTCCCTATATGGAATAGCAACCACCAAATAATCGGTAAGACCTTCCTCATAGCTGTGTCATTTTTGTGCTAATGTAAATTTAATTCTGTCTTTTTAATTCTATGTTCCTTTTTCTTCTTTTTCCCAGCTGAATATTGTTAAGAAGTTACGGTACCTAGGATGCATGCTAAGTATCCAAGAAGGGATGTTTTGACTTGGATACTGTATGGACTTTTTCAGCTTTCCCATTGTATCATTGTTAAGTTATATATTGTATTGAAACTTGAAGACTAATGAGATGAAAACAGAAAATCTAATGATATTAGGGAAAAATGTGTCGTATGCTTTGATACTTTTCTTGGGTCTCCTTTTTTAGTACACAACTCAGGCAACTGTTTCTGCAGTCCAGCAAAGTGGTCATTTCCTTCTTTAATGGTAAGCTACACAGCCAGGGAAGACTTAGCAGAGAGGCTGTGCAGCTGTCAGAGTTGCCTGTGGCAGTGGTGTGTGCTGGAGCAGGATGTGACAGGGTTTTATTGCTTGTTTGATAGGATGCTTCTCAGCTATGATACACCTGCAATTGGTCCTGTGTTTTTACCTGCTTTTGGCACGTAAAGGAGCACCATTTGTAAAAACAGTGCCAGATTCCTCTGGTAACTTTCCACAGAAGAATTCAAGTCAAAGCTATAGCAATTTAAACCAGCAGGGCAAGATTTACGTCCCTGTGTGTTGTGGCTGTCAGTGAGAGCTAAGATCAGTAGTGTATTGCTGTAGGCGTTTGGTGCCATGCAGGATCAGGATCTTTGAGCTTATTCAGCAGAGATGATGTAGGAATTGAGTCTCTTAAAAATATGGCTCATTGTTTGTTGTGAAGTGCGTATTACCTTGAAGTAGAAAGAAACTGAACCCTTGACTGGTGATAGCTCTTACAGTATTTTTCTAAGGGCATATTGTAGCTAAACAAAATATAAACGGTTTGTTGCAGTAGAACTCAGTATTAGTTCAGCTAGAACCAAGAACTTTGAACACTTTTTCTTTCTCAAGTGGTTTAAGGAAATTACATTTTTTTTCATTGGTTCAATAGATTTATGGACCAGTGATGAAGAAAAAAAAAAAGGACTTGTATACCCAGGTGATGCTAAACCCACTAAGATTTTAGGAATGAAGGTACTGGTCAAACAAATTTTATTAGTAACTCCAAATTGATAGGACAACTTACATGATTGCTGCTAGCAAAGTGCTTGAGTTCTTTCCCAAAGAGGTCTTTAACCTTTTGTGAAAAACTTTGCGAGTAACTTTAAGGTTTGCAATATTATACTTGGAGAGTAGAGAATAACAGTTGAAAGTAATAAACGGAGTTGTGGTATCAAACCAAATATACTTTGACATGTTTATGTCTGTTTAATGATTTTCAGAATAAATATTTGCAGTTTTGCTTTTCAGTTTGAAAGATATATTTTAAATGTTACCAATTAATAAAATATTGTGTTGTGAATTAATGAATGAAGATTATAATTCATATTAACTCTTTCTAAAGGGGTAGCTCAAGTGTTGAACAGGCTTGATGGGAAACCCTTTGATGATGCTGACCAGCGACTGTTTGAAGTAAGAGGCATTCAATTTTGTAGCAATAACATACTTTTTCAGCA